GCAATGGAGGTATGTTTATACAGAAGTATGCTATGGATAATATGGACCGAACATATGAGGAAATATGTGGTTTTGGAGCGGATGCAAACAAGGAGGATGCTTAAATAAACATCAGTAGCAGGCAGCGGTATTTTCTGGAACACTAAAGAAAAATGAGGGTTTGGAGAGTCTGATGTTCACAGGCCTGCTAGATGGAAAAAGACACAAAGAAAAGTAACACATGACACACCTAATGGGCATAAGCAAGTGGATGACAGAACAGCGTCTGGGAGACGTAGCCAAAGGACAAAACATATTTAGAAATACAAAGGATAGGGGGAAGTGGAGAGCCATGATCGCCTTCGTCCTGAAGGGACACACCACAAAAAAAGAAGAAAATTCTTCGAATTCTATTTATTACCATCGGCCGTAAAATAATCTGCTAAACATTTGGAACCAACTGATAACGCTCTGTCTCATATTCCGTCCATAAATATTCTCCTCCCGATTGGCGAATGGCCGAGACGGTTTGAATCATTTCCTATTTATATATGTCTTTTTTCTTTCATATTTTATTTCGAATACTATTTCTATGTAAAATGTTATGCGGAAACACGTACCTAAGTTCAACCAGTTCTAACTTTTGCATTGTCATGAACTACGCACGTTCTGTTCGTATTTGCTAGATGTAAGTACCACTCGAGTTGCTCCTTCCCACAAACCACTACTTTTTGGAACTGATTCCCTAAGAGTATGCTTCCCTGATCACACATTGTTAACCTACTCAAATCTAAATTTAACGATTATCTTCCCCAGATATCGTCAAAAAATGCGCCACTATAATCACGACTGATTCTACGGGATGAATATTGTTGTTAAAAATATCTTTAAAAATATATGTAGTATCGTTACCTTTTTTGAAAATTTAAATGTTTAACCTTGAAGATTAGTGATGTTTTACGATATGTTTGTCAAATTTAAAACAGTTTTCTGGATTAAAAAAAAAAAACACTTATAGCATTTGATTTTTTCTTTATACCGAAACACGCTGAAACGACGGCATCCAGTATTCGAATTTTATCAATTGTCTGTAGCAATTATACCTAAATTTCTTCCATATAAAACGTTCTTTAAGGATTAGCATAATCACTGTCATCAACTTCCGCTCTTGAGCACTTGGAGAATCTGGCTTTTACAGGGTATATTGAACTCAAGAGGAACAGAAAAAAGCAGCCAATAAACTATCTAAAGAGCTTGTGTAAATTGTTGGCAGTACAAGGATTTGAAGACATCAAAAATACAAATCGTACTTAGTAAGGCTTTAAGCATGATTTGTATTCATTAAATGTCCGAGCAGTTTCAAATGTCTTTTTTCTCTCATCCTAATCGGCGTCAGTCTAGCTTAGTTTAATTTTCTTGAAAAACTGTTTCTTGCTACTAGAGTAATTGTTTCGGTTTCGTTTTTGGAATAGCACTCTTGTCCCTTAAGTGTAAATGGAGATTTCTCAACACGTCCTGAATATTTACATATTTTCTTTCAAGTAAAATATACTTACTACCGTTTTAATTAGTAAAATTAGTACTCATTACGAAAATACACTTTCAGTTATTTCTATTTTACATCTGAGATAATGTAACTACTAAGTTAATTCCACTTTTTATAATAACTAGGAATACTTTGGCACGTATGGAAATCCTTAAAATATTTAGTTTTTTTGAAGATATCGCTAACATTTTTTGCGAGATATAGAAACTATATGTTTGGTTCAATTTCACAAATTAATTGATGAAATATAAAATTTAAGAAAGATATGCAAAATAGAATATTGCGTTTTTTATTGAAGAAGTATTTGTTATTTTAGTCATTAAATTGTTTCTGAAGTTGCTGGAGTACGTTCGTATGTTAAACAAAAAAAAAACTTCTACCTTTTCCAATACAATGTTAATGCAAATTTATTGAACTGGACAACGCATCCTAGTAAAACCAATGTACTTTATACCCACTTATCAGTTTTCACTTCTTCGCCAAAATATGGTTTCGTTCGCTCAATATATTGAAATCTTTGAGGGTGTTGCGGACTGAGGGACTAACGGATATCGCAGAATTATATATGAATGGAGTATTGCTACCATATATCGTCTGGAGCCCCTTCTGTTTGCCCCGGGGTTCTTGATAAGATCCAGAGACGGATATGCAATATAATTGGCCCTGATCTGGCATCTCGTCTGCAGTCGCTCTCCCACAGACATGCCGTCGCCTCTCTCTGTCTTTTTTTACAGATAATTTCATGGTAATTGCTCCGATGAGCTGCTTTCTCTGGTTCCAAGACTTCGCGAGTTCAAGCGTCCTACGAGGCTGGCACCCCGCTTTCACCCTTTCACTGTTGAAACTGTTAAATATAGTCGCCTCTTCTACTCCAATAGCTTCATGTCTCGCACCTCTCGCCTGTGGAACTTCCTTCCCTATTCCAGTTTCCCTGATAGCTATAATCTGGAACTATTCAAATGCAATGTCAATCGACATCTCCAGTTGCTTTGATCTATCCACTATCCTTCTCCTCTTCCCTTCCTCTATCACTTCTATCTGATCTCGCTCCAAATCCTCTGTAACCCTTTGCGTACTAGTGGCTTCCCGCCTTGCTAGGGATGAAACGCTTAAAAAATAAAATAAAAAAAATATATAGATTATCGATATTTTACATTTTTTCCCTTTTGGTCAATTAATTGATGTAAAGGATTGGGCACTAGTTTCCTTTCAAATATATTTTGAGAGACAATCATGAATTTAAGGGCTTCATTTAACTCTTAAACAGAGAGTACTGTTAATTCAAATTTCACTACAGAACAGCAATTAATGACTTAATACTTTATTGTCCAAACATATGAGTATCATTCAACCACGGCTCAAGGCGGAATGGCTAATTGATAAATCTATGATTCATGAGGTTATATCCTTTCATGGATTACTGCCTAAAAATAAAGTGATAAGAACAAGCAAGTGTCAGTGTTACGTCAGCAGCATTGCTTTTAAACAAAAGTTAGCGAAGAAAAGTGACAACTTGTTTATAAAGAATGTAGAAAGCTCATTGTTTAGTGAATAAGAGAACGGCTAGCATACTCTTAAAATATATTAGATTTAAAAATATAAAATCTATGTTATATTGTCTGAATGAGTTATTACATCTTCGTAATTTTTTTTTTTTTTTTGCTCGTACAGCGGATATAATCCTAAAACAACTTTTAAAAATGAATTTTATCACTTTTTATTCTTTTGCGCACATCGTGGTGTACTCAATTCCCTTTCTCTAAGGTATAAAATATTACATTTTCTAAACAATTACAATGTTATTCTTTCTAATTCTGCTTAGTTCAGATGTTATTTCCGAAAACTAAATTCTCTCAAATATTTGCTTATCGAAATATTCATTTAAAATATTTCTCTCATAATACTTTCATTGTGTAAATTTCTTTTACACATCATCTATAATAACGACGCGTTGGCTATCTCGACGCGGTGCAATGGTTAGCAGTCTTATCTCTCTAAAACAATTACAACCAATTGATCCTCAATGTGGACCCTATATATTCGGCCTTATGCAACGTCGAAGCTGTACTTAGAAAATGACCATAATAATAATGTGCTAATAGATACTCGGAAAAATTATTTTCCAGGAGAGTTTCATTTTCCATATATCTTTTACATTTTAAACTTCAGTATGTCATACATACATACATACATACATACATACATATATATATATATATATATATATATATATATATATATATATATATATATATATATATATATATATATATATATATATATATATATATATATATATATATATATATATATATAAAAATTTTTTTATCAATCTCTCGTTGAATCTGAGATAAAATTTCTTTAAGATTTTCGAACGTTCTTACAGTTTCAATTTGTGGTTGATAATAATGGAAAAATCATGCCCGTAAAGATTAATGTCCCAAGGGCTGTCGGACACTTTTTAAGCGTTTTCAAGGCATTCGTTGATAATATATTTTCAGTATATATATATATATATATATATATATATATATATATATATATATATATATATATATGTGTGTGTGTGTGTGTGTGTGTGTGTGTGTGTTATCAATGTTGTCACAGTATTCAATATTCAACAGTCTGTGTCATGTTGAATATTGCGAGACTATTGCCATTAGTTTTTTTTTTATCTCTGTGAACACCCTGCTTATATTTAAATAGGTATAGTACATTATTATTCTTTAAATAAAGCATACTTTAAAACATAATTTACCTAACAAATTATTTTACCTATCTTGAATCGTTTTTATTTTTTAAACAAGAGCCATATAATGATAAACGAGAAAAATACTTATCATAACTAGTAATCGTGCGAACACATATATAAATAATATTAATTAAATGCACTATTAGGAAAGAATAACAGTTTCTAGTTTTTTTTTATGAGAAATACTACTCTATTTCGTTTATTAACATTGTATTTCTCTTGCCAAAATTAATTCTGTGCGCCATCAATTAAAGTCTGCAAGTAACAACAGAAAACATGCTAATATTGTGATACGTGTTCTTTTTTGTGAATATAGTAATGATTTAGGGATACAAGTCTTGCTAATTAACTCATAGCTGGGAAGAAAATTGGTGAAGTCATAACTTTACCAAGGTCATTTACGCATAAAATAATAAAACGTTCTTTTTTCACTCCGCCACCGAAAGTGACACAAAGTCGAGTTTTAAAGTGGTTTTAACGGCAATACAGTGGAAAAATTGATAAAGCATCCTCGGCACTGCCCCATTTAAGGACGCCTCAGACGCCGGCCAATAAACCCTGCGCGTTCCCAAAGGATAGGTACTGGCTGTTGAGCGACATCCGCTGGGATTTGTGCTAAATATTATTTGACGCTTTCCCAACCAAGAAATCATGACTAAAACGAAGCGAACTGAAATTGGATTAAAAATTCCGAGACAATATCCATTACATTATCTATCCTAGCTTACAGCACATAGTATTTTCAAATAGTCACCCATCTCGGTACAGATGGGGCTCGACGATGCTTAACTTCGTTGATCGTACGGAAACCGGTGTTTCAAAATGATATGAGTGTAAGCCTGATTTACCAAATTCTACTAAAATTAACCGATCATAAATTAGCATATATTGGTATTATTTAGACATTTTAGAATAGCGAGTATATTAATCAATATATTGCATCAGATTATGCCCGTCATATACGAGGCTATTTGATATTTGTTATGTGCCATTTAAGAAATTATTTTTGATGAGTAATGTATTCCAGCAGAGAGCTATCTTTCAATAGCAGCGCCCCTTCATTATTGTGCGATAATGGTACTCTCCATCTTCCTGTTTTTATTTGATGTTTTACCCTCATTTTACGCATAGTTCAGCCATCCATTCACAGGAACTCATAAAGTAGGTTAATCGCTTTTTTCAAAGTTTTTCTTCCTTCAAAATGTTCTTTGAGTATTAAAATATCGATATATGTCGAGATAAAGAATGACATATACAGAAGATCAATACGGTAAACTTTTGTATGAGAAAACATCAAAGTCTGCGAATTATCTAATAAATTCTGAGAAAATATCAGGTAAACGGACAGTAGGCGACAGCTGCTTTATTTTATTGACCTTTATCTGTCAAGTTTGACAATGTATTTATCAGGTTAATTTTTGCTATTGTCTCGAGAGTTGACTTGAAATGATATTTCTCTTGCTAAAGTAATAAAAAGCACTAGACAAAATATTTTGCGACTGAGTTTAGTAAGATTGTCTTACATCAGATTCACAGGTTGTCTTACAATCAACATTCGAAATCCTGAAAATTTTCATATTTTGAAATCTAGAGTTTTGTGGAAATGCGGATGCTGTAAGACAAAATATTCATACAAATGTAGATTAAAAATACATTTGCTCACGTGATGTTAATTTTTCTGTCAACTGTCCAAACGATTCAGTGAAAAGATTATAAGCAAAAGTTCTGTTGTAGTGTTAACAGTATACCATTCGAAATAATTAACTTATCTGAAATCATATAATATCTATTTACAATGGTAGAAGTAAAGTATAGACTGTATCTAATACTCCATATTTTAAGATGATCATGGAAGAAATTATGTTACACGTTGTGATAAGGATATTATGTTTCGAAGAATGTAATTATTTAAGCATTTGTGGCAATACAATTTGAAGGAGTTTCGAAGATTGTTATCTCATACAAACGTGCAAGACTAAGTAATAGAATAAATGATTTCGTAAATATTAGGGTATATAAAGATATACAATAAGATACATATAGCTAAATCATCCTCACTATTTACAGAGGTGCAAATCTCTGTTGAATCTAATATATATATATATATATATATATATATATATATATATATGTGTGTGTGTTTGTCTGTGTATTTCGACTTAACTAATATTGAAGACTAACTCTCTAAAGGTTTTCAAGGTAATAGAAGAGAAAAAACGCCTAATGGCTTTATGTATAATATCCAATTCTAAATATATCGTTAGAGAAATATAAAAACAAATGCTACACTCTCGATTATTCTGGTTTATCTGCATACTAAGCGAAACGCATTATTCGAATATAATGACTTATAGGAAATGTACCTTAAATTTTAGTCTTATTCACAATTACATTCCAATTTGTGTACTTTTTAAAATCAAAATATAGGTAAATATAAGAAGATACAAGAATAATGCTATGATTTGATGTTTGGTAATCTGACTTTTTATGAAAAACATAATTAGAGTGTTTTGCCGCAAAGGATTCTTCAGTTCATCATATCACTGATGTTACTCAGAAATAACTCCTTCAAAACTACCAAACATATCATAATCATTAGAATTTTTTTATAAACATTGCATAGTAACTGCAAACATCTGTTATATCTGGATATTTTTTAATAAATGTAAACTTCTGTATCTAATTAAATCGTCCATTCTTTTAAACAAATAACCAGATATTTCTTTTTAATATCTTCAAAATTAACATGAAAAAATCAAAACATTCAAGATGTATTTTTATATTTGGTTTACGTTATAAAATGTATCTATTAATAAACGTGCATTTTTAAAACACTACTTGAATTATTTAAACTATTTACATTGTTCTGACTCTTGTCTTCATCTTTCATGCCATATTCACAACGTCTTGTTTCCAAGGCTCAGTCCGCCATCCTCTTAGTCGCTTCATTGTGGTTATAATTGACACATTAATAGGAAACTCACCATTATATGCCCGAATCTCCTCCTAATTTGTGAAAAGATTCTCCCATCCGATCCAAACAGATGGTGAGCCTGGTGGTAGTGAGTGTGTTCACCTAGGTTCTCACCGAGGAGGTACTATCAGTAGCAAGGCACAGATTAGCCTTGAACTCATCCTTAGGAGAAGGGAACAGTATACCAATAGATAACCTGATGGAGATGCTGACTATCTGTACAGAAACAACACACTTCGGAATGAGACAACACACCTATCGGCAGGCTGAATAGTTAGTAATGGGCTCGCGGTTACAGCCAGCAATGGCTAATATATACCTGGAATAAGTCAAAGAAATGGCCTCAGAATTCACATCACTAAAGCCAACTCCGTGGCTGAAATAAATAGATAACATCTTTATATTAAGTCTACAAGAGAAAGTTGTCCACCTACAACTCGACCATGTGAACTCAATATGATCATCGATATTAAATTTTTTGAAGTATCTCAAACACAACATGGGTTCAAGACATCCGTACACCGTAAGCAAACATTCACGGGACACTACCTCAACATCAAATCTCACTATCTATACAGTGTAAAGGAGGTGATTGTCTTCTGCTTACAGCATCGAGCAAAAGTGATAAGTAACAACCCAAAGACATATGAACAAAAAATGGTCTGTATATTCAGTAAACTACAACGTAAGAACTACCCTGGGTACATGACATTACCCCCGACAAACAGGGAATGATAGGGGCAAGAGGGATAACAGCACTAAGAAAACACTTCAGGTGGCCTACCCTATATGAATGTATTGCCGGAAAAATACATATATACATATAGATAGATATGTAGTCAATATAACACCAGACGACATTCAAAAGTGTTTAAACATTTCGCAGACACATCTTCCGAGTTAGAAACCTCGCGTAGAGGGGAACATGATTAAGGAATGTCTATACGACTTCCCATGCAGCTCTGGTGAGAAATATAAATGAAAAAAAAAAGTGGCCATCCTTTTAAGATAAACTTGCATGAACCCCGTAAAGCTAAGCACGAGGATAAATAGAAAAAAACTATCCGGCGAGCTGACCACATATGGAGGGAAAAGGGAGATCAGCTTCTGAGAAGAGGTTGAAATAATAGACAAATAACATCAATGGAAAGTACGAAAACTTAAAGAATCAGCACATATACTGGGCTACAAAAATGTCCTGAGCCGACCAATTATGGAAAAGATACAATATGGGAACCGGTAATAAGCAGTTTTAGAGAAAAGCAATAATAACAACATTACAACATGTGCCCTGGTATCAAACGGATACTGAGGCAATATTTTTACAAATCCCCCCAAATATTACATAATCAAGGACATATGGCCCAGTGGATAAAAGCGTGACTTAATTCAAATATTAGTCAGTTCAGCTACAGCTGAGGTGAACAAAATCTTGGAATTAAGTTAAAGGGAGATAACTGTCACCGAAACATACAGTAGAGGCATGGCACGTGAAGCTAGAAAAATCTACTCGGGCTAACGAAACAAAGGATTCAGTTTAAATTACAATCATCTGAAGAAGACCAAAGTTTACAATGGCCGAAACGTTGTGAATATTGCAACAAAGATGAAGACAACAGTCAGAACAATGTAAATAGTGTAAATAATTACAATACCTCATCTCGAAAATATAGAGAGATACGATTGTAATTACTAAGATAAGGTAATACTGGACAAACAAAATAGTTACCAATTATTAAATGTTAGAACATGTTTAATTAATCGGTAACTAAAAAATAGTCAATTTTCTTTACTATGTGACAACTGAAGAATTTTTTTTCTGCACTAATCGAGTATTATCTATGGACTAATCGAATTTTGGCCCATAAATATTTTAGCGCACTAATCGAAAACGCTTTGCATGAATGCGCATTAATTGAGGGATTCCTGTATCCAGAAAATATCAATATTCGCATTCATTAGCAGGTGTGTAATAAACACAAATCACATGATTTACCAATGAAACATAGTTCTCATTGGTTTACATGCTGCACACAAGCATATTGGAACTGATGTGTGCAAGTCGTAATTAAATAATCGTTTTTCAAGACCCCCTGCCGTCTGAAAATATTTAATTAATCACGCCTGAGCAAAACTCTGAGATATCTTCCTCCGGCACCTCAGAGAGAATGTATTTCAATGAATTCATCATGACGAAAAAAGATCTGAAATTAAAAACGAAATAATAGAATTAAATTTAATTAATTAAAATTAGAAGAAACTGCAAAAAGTTAATTTTACAAATGAAGGAAAAATATAGGAAATGACAAATAAATAATTCTACAAGCATAATCTTTGATTTTACAAGTACCTGTAAAATTTATAAGACACAATGAGTAAAGAAGTCTATTTTTTGCAAAGAGGATTCATTATTATTTAATATACAGATTGATCTATTTTAAAGTGGCATTATATGTTATTTTTTTAACTTTTTGTATTTTTTCTCTACTGTGTCCTGTTAAAAAATGGCTCTGAGTTGGATGACATAGGTTCGGGTAGACCTCATGAAAACGTACGGATATAAAATGAAAAATATTCCTTTTTTTCTATAAAGATCATTTACTTATTCTCATCTAGGAAACAATGTTGAACGTAGATTAACTTGAAAGCTCATTATACAGGCACACGTGTTTATGTTACTGACTTCACACCTGGACATTCTGAATATTTGTGAAGAAATGCAAGTGGCATTTTGTATAATTTTGTATAATTCATATTCTTGAAAAATATATTAGTCATAATTTTTAAAAATCAATTGGTTCTAATTTAAGCAAAGCAATCGAAGTTGGATTGATCAAAAACCTGATTGAAGTATTTCTTC